CTAAGTTAACTAGTTCTCGTGTGTTTCCGTACGATTAACTAGTTCCGTGCTGTTTCCGCTACGTAACTAGTTCGTGCGTGTCTATCCGATGTTAATTAGTTCGTCGACACTTTTCCGTCGTTTAATTAGTTCGTAGTCTTTCCCACCGCTATAGTTAACTAGTTTGTGTGTTTTGCCGTAGCTTAACTAGTTCGCTGCTGCTTTCCGCTAGGTTAAGTAGTTCTGTGTTCCGTAGTGTAAGTAAGTTCGTGTGTTCCGTAGTTAAGTTAGTTCGTCGTGTTCCGTGTTAGTAGTCGTGTGTTTCGCGTCTAGTTATCTAGTGCGTGCTGTATTCCCGAAGTCATCTAGTGCAGTGACCCAACCCTCCCAAGCGAACCCTGGTTCTCCGTAGTTTTAAACTCATGTTCGTGTGTTTCCACTGTTATCTACGTGCCGTCTCGGGTTCCTGTACTATTACCTCTAGTTCCGTGTGTTTCCGCAGTCTAAGCTAGTTCGTGTGCGCTCCACACGACCACCTCCCAGTCCACGCGCCCCCATATCTTCACCAGCGTTACCGCTATGTTAAACTATTTCGTTACGAAAGCTTTTCTGACTAGGTTAAACTAGTGTCGTGTGTTTGCCGTTAGAGTTAACTAGTTCGTGCTGTCCTCGTATTCTAAACTAGTTCGTGGCCCGGTATAATTTTTCTCTAGTTAAAGCTAGTTCGTGGACGGTCATCGTCCCATCGCCTCTCTTGTATTTAACTAGTTTCGTGTTCTGCTAACGTTAACTTCAGTTCTGTGTGTTTCTCCGTCAGCATTAACCATAGCCCTCATCGTAGCGACTCTCGTTGCACATGACCTTGAGTGCCCCGCGCACTCACCAGTTAACGACGCGGTTATTCTGCCTAGGTAGCAGCTATCATTGCCACTCCGTTCCACCGACTCGCTGTTACTGCAGGCCCCGAACCTCCATGCACTCTTAACACGCATGGTGCTTCTTCCATGTAAAGAGAACTTCGATGACTTCAGTACCACTCAGTTTAAGCTATGATGTTCCTGCCATGGTGTGCAAAACTTCAACTACACTCGCGCTCTGTTATCCGATAGGCGCAACACTTCCTACACTCTTCCACGAAACTCCAGTTGCTCTCGGCACGAGTGGCAACAATTCACATCACCTCGTTCATCGACTCAGGTTGTTCCGGCACGCGGCAACCTTCAGTTGACTTCACTGCACTCGCCCCCACTGACTCAGACCTTCGTTTCGGCAGGTGTCCGAAACTCCTACACCCGCTGACGTCATGCACTCGGTTCTATGACTAGTCGTCCGCGCCGTGCTGCTGCGGCGGAACGTGGACCGCCGTCCGCAGCCCGCGCTGACGTGGGACTGCATGCGCTGTACGCGGCGGCTCAGCTGCCGTCGCCTTCTTCATGCCGACGATGATCGTCGGCAACTTCATGGTGTTGAATCTCTTCCTCGCGCTGCTGCTCAACTCTCCTGTCGACGCCGACTCGACTGCCCAAAGGCCCACGACGACACCCACCCGAGCGGACACTACATCCCTCCGAGGAGCGGCTTCAAGGTAGCGCCTGCATCCCCGCCGTTTACAGAAGAATGCCAGCGCGTGCTGCAGAAGCTAAGGCTGGCCCCTCGGCCTCAACCGCAGTATACACCGTCTCTCTCTCTCATCTATCGTCGCGACCCGCTCTAAGCAGACTATCACGAGTCTAAAGACTAGTCCACCGGCTCTGAAAGACTAACACAGCAACAGTCCGCCCTCCGAAAAGACTCAGTCACTGTCTCAAGCGACTAGTCACCAGGTCTAAGAGCACTACGATCACTGCTCTTAACGCCAACTTAGTCACGCGATCTACAGACTACCACGGTCCTAAAGACTAGTCACTCGTCGAAGCACTAGCTCACCGTCTCGAAGGACTTAGTCCACCTTTCTAAAAGACTAGTCACCTGATCTAAACGACTTCAGTACACTCGACTCTAAAAGCAACTACGCTACTCCACTCGCGCGTCCTAAAGACTAGGTTCACTGCTAAACGCCTAGTCACGTGTTCTAAAGACTAAGCACTATGCGTAAAAGACTAGCACGTCTACAAGAACTAGCACCGGTCTAAACGTCTAGTCACTGTCCTAATACACTAGTCACCCGTCTACAAGACTAGTCAGCATAGTCACGTGCTAAAGACTCAGTCACGCTGATATACACTAGTCACGGCCTCAAATACACAACGCTCGACGCCACTCTGAGAAGACTAGTCACGCTAACAGCACCCTAGTCACTGTCTAAAGACTAGTCACTGTCTAAAGACTAGTCACGGTCTAAAGTCTAGTCACTGTCTAAAGACGAGTGCGTAACCGCGCAGTTTGGAGAAGATATTAAGGAAAACGTCCTCTGGCTTTTGTTTAGAAGGGACACCTGGGCAAGCGTGGGGGTATGGAGGGAAATTAGATACCGTATGTATTCGCTTTCATTTCGAGTCAAGTCGGACGATTATATTCTCCTTTTATTTGTGCGTGTGAAGCCAAGGTGAAGGTACTCGCACTATAATATGGATGGAATTTGGACGCCGTGCGCGTTTATTTGTGAAGATTGGGCATTTGAGCGTTTGTTGCGTTTGGTATATAGGTTTATCTTCGTTCAGTATGGAGGCAATTACGGGCGGGCTCGTTTATTTCTCTACGGAGGGATTTCCAGAAAATGCGTTTCCGCCAGTGCGGCGCGAATTCAAACAATTAAGCTGCGCACGTATTCGCTCTAGTACTATTGCTCATAGGTTCTATGTCCCCCAGGGTGACTGGCCGGAACGTACCCGGTGGTACCGGTCCGGTATACCGGAACGTACGTCCTGGTAACTATCTAGGCTGATATGGTTATGGTTAGGGGTTAGGGAGTAGGCGTAGGCGTATAGGCGACTCCCCTAAACTCGTTAGTGGAGTAGGCGAGGTACGGTCCGGCATATTAGATAGTAGTATTTAGTACCAGGGCACGTTCCGGTATACCGGACCGTACCCAGGGTACGTTCCGGCAGTACCTTGGGGACATACACCCTATCAGCAGTACGCTCAGCCATTGTTCGCCACAGCCATAGTACTAGAGCTATGCGTGTATATACTGATCGGAGATACGTATATACGTGAGCACAGGATGGACCTGTATAAACGTATACTTGCTCGAATGTGGCATCGGAATCCGATAAATGCAGTAGAATGTAGCATCAGAATTGTCAGCATCAGTATTGTCAACATCTTCCGCATCATCATCGTCGTCGTGTCAATCACCATAGTCATCGTCGTCATCGTCGTCACCATCGTCGTCGCCATTGTGTTTCGCTGGAAGAACGAACGAACGAATATATATAGAGCTATAATAGCTAATGGAGCTATATAGAGCTATAATAGCTTATGGGGATTAAGCTATATAGAGCTTAATTAGAGCTATATAGAACTATATAGAACTATAATAGCTGTAGAGCTATATAGAAGCTATAATAGCTAGGGGATGTAGAGCTATATAGAGCTGTAATAGAGCTATATAGAACTATATAGAACTGATAATAGCTGTAGAGCTATATAAGAGCTATAATAGGCTATGGGGATGTAGTGCTATATAGAGCTGTAATAGAGCTATATAGAACTATATAGAACTATAATTAGCTGTAGAGCTATATAGAGCTATAATAGCTATGGGGATGTAGATGCTATATAGAGCTGTAATAGAGCTATATACGAACTATATAGAACTAATAATACGCTGGAGAGCTATATGACTATAATAGCTATGGGGATGTAGAGCTATAATAGAGCCAATGAGTGGGTGCTGACGTGCGCGGGTTTCTTACACAGAGGCTGTTCACGTTACTGCATCTGAATCATCGGTGGATGCTCAGGTCGACAATGTTCGTGCCGCCCGCCGCTCCGGCGCCGTCGCCCGAGCTCTGCCACACTAACGTGCTCTCACACGACGACCTACCAGGTACGACAGCACAGAGTGTATATACTCTATATATATGTATGTGTCAGTGTGCGGCAGCGTGCGCGCGGTGTATATGTGTGTTGCGAGGAGCATTGCACGGCATTTGCAGGAAATTGTCGGAAAGACTTTGGTAGGAAATAGATTTCGTATTTATTTAGCATTATATTTTATCCAAGTGCATGTGGCTACTCCCACCGCACAGATAGCGCTTCCGCACGACCGCAGTCGCGAGGAAGAAATTCTCTCTTTGTCCGCATTGGGATTGATTAACGTAGGATATAGGTTCTAGAGACTACGCGGTCGAATAGAATTGCGTAATTGCGAGGGAGACCTAGTGACCCTCAGCACGTCTACCCCGTGGTGACACACAGGCATTATATTTATGTGTGTGTCTGTGCGTGTGTGTGTGTGTGGGGGGCGTGTGTGTGTGCGTTGTGGGCTGCGTGCGTGCGTGCGTGCGGACGTGCGTGCGTGCGTGCGTGCGTGTGTGTGTGTGTGCGTGTGTGGTGTGCGCGCGCGTGTGTGTGTGTGTGGTGTGTGTGCGTGCGCGCGCGCGTGTGTGCGTTGGTGTTGTGCGTGCGTGCTGTGCGTTTGTGCGTGTGTGTGTGCGTGCGCGTGTGTGTGCGCGCGCGTGCGTGCGTGCGTATTTGTGTGTGCGTGCGTGTGTGTGTGTGTGTGTGTTTGAGGGATTACACAACGCTAGTTATCTAATGTTTGTTTTGTGTGTGCGGGGTAATCTCGTCTGCTTTATGTTGACTTGCCGACCTGACCTGCGTGTCGGAGTTTCAGCGCGCGTGCTTCGCCTGCGGGAGGTTGGCGGCAGATTTCTCTTGCGCTTTCATATACGCGCGTTTAAATGAACCATGATCGGTGAAATGCCGGTGCCGCGGGGCAGGGGAGTAACCACAGATACGCGGCTCGGCCTGTGTTCCCTACAGACGCGACAGCCATCGCGAGTGTAATAATTGTACGAGCGTCCGCCAGAAATCGTGTGATTTGCGAGGTTTTCGATATAAAAAAAATATTGTGAAATATGTAGAGATTATTAGTCGCGATGTCTACGTGTAGGTCCGCATTATCTGTTCAGCCCACGATTAAAATGGGAAATCGTTCGCCAGAATTACTGTTCGGTGAAAGCATGTACGCCGTGTCTAATGCTGATCAAATTACGGCGGAAAGATTCAAGGATACGTGCATGCGTTTACTTTGCTGCGTTTCGTCGAGGAAGGATGGCTATTGTTAACGTTCTTCCTCTGTTTAGTGCAATTTGCGTCTTGTGTGCGATTATCCGTTTACCTGCGGTTAGCCGTATATTTCGCTGATGGATGTCGTATCACTGTCACACTAAGTCAGCGAGAAACCGATAGAAAGCTGCACGGCTGCACGTGTGCATCGAGAAGCTGATCATTACAGGCGCACCGTATTGAGATGAACACCATCACTTGCTGTCACAGTTTGTTAACGGCAATCACTTAACAGCGCCAATGCGGATAAACAGACATATATTTACATAGACAGTGCATTTTCACACACACACGCGCACGCACGTACGCACGCACACAGACATATATATATGTGTGTATGTGGGGGCGTGCGCGCGTGTATGTGTGTGTGTGTGCGCGTGCGCGCGTGTGCATGTGCGATTATACGTGCGTGCGTGCGTGCGTGTGTGTGTGTGTGTGCGTGCGTGCGTGCGTGCGTGCGTGTGTGTGTGTGTGCGTGCGTGCGTG